CTGGCTTGGCAAGACACTTATACATGTTTACATGTGTGCTGTTAATGTCATTCTCCTCGCACGAGTCATATATAAACAACTTTTACTTAAGCCATCCGAGTCTCCTGCTGAATCTTTTTTGTGTGAAGTCAAGCATCAACAAATTTCCTCAACAGACATTTATATTTTCACTGACAATTACCCTAATTCCAATCTAAACATTTAGCAGTGTGGAAATTTGTCACAAAGTCTTTTCAGAACCAAAGCAGATGTTTTCATAAAATCTTGCATAATCTTAGAAAGAAAACAACTAATTTCATGCCATTTTCTTTGTTGTGGTTTGTTCTTACAGTGGCAGTGGACAAGCTACCAAACTTCCTAGCAACTCCCACACCCGATAACAAACCAGGGCCCCACCACCAGTGCTCCATTCATCTCAACTGTGAAAGTGTAGAGGTATTGGAGACAGCGTACAAAGAGGCCATGAATGGACGACCCTCAGCAAGGTATACATTTTTACTTTCTAACAAAATTAAGAAACCAAATCCTCCTTTCAGTCCAAAACTTCAAGCAGTAAAAAACAGTTTCCCTCAATGCTCATGCACAGATTTGTATTTAAGTTGTAGATTAAAGCTTTCATTCTTTACTGCAGAGAATACAGGACAAAGTTGTACGTGCTTATTATTGGAGATTAGAGATAAACCTTGCAGCTGCAATACCTAAAAAAAAGGTATTTTCTTATAATTTCTTAAAATTATGATAGTGAGCACCCTAAACGTTTTTTACCCCACATTTATTTCAACATAATTCTCAAATTAACTGGATTAGCACATTCAACTATACTTTATCTCTTACATTACACTTGAATAAATAGATCCTCTTAACATATTATTTTTTTAATTGTTTCTACATCAATTTATTTGAATGGTTGAACGCAATACCAGATGTCCATTCTTGAATATTTAGCAGCTCACTTGTATCTTATCTCATCTTGCTGCTCTTCTCTTGCAGACCCATGCTGGAGATGACCATCCCATCAGTGTTGGATCCCACTCTGGCTCCCCCTGGCTGCCACGTGGTGTCACTGTTCACCCAATTTACCCCCTACCACATAGAGGGCAAGGAATGGACTGAACAGGATAGAGAGGCCTATGCAGATAATGGTTTGAATCACATATTAATCCTAAACTTCTAATAGTATCACTTTGTCCAAAGTAGAGGTGGCAGTAAATACAAACATTTTTTTACTATAGGAGACAGATACAAATATGTATGTAAAAGTAAAATAGATCCATCTCCTTACTGATATAAAAGTGAAAAAGTACAGGTTTTGAAATGTGCTCATAGTGTGAAGGTTACTTCATCTATGGGGAAATATTAAACTTATATAACTAGAAACTTCACATGCTGTAAAAGGGAAAAAGGAATATAAGGAACATTCACTTTATCCAATGCATATCAGTTGTATGGGATATGGCTTCTCTGGGAAAACAAAGAGTCATATTTTGTTTGTTTTATCGTACCTTTTAGGTTGAAATGAGTCAGGATTTGGGTAAGGCACGGTGTGCAATCATGATAATAAGTAGATAATAATTATCCTCATATGCATTGAAGCTAAAGTAAAGAGTCCTTTTTGTTTAAATTTGGGGAGTAAATATGAAAAGTTTTCAGAAAATACACAAGAAAAGTACTGTTACCTGAAAATCTGCTTGGTTACAGTAACATAATATTTGTACTATGTTATTTCAAACTTTGGCAAAATGTGTCCAGTGCTTCTACATTTACACATTTTAACACGCTAGATCTTAAAGCTCCAGTTTTAACAGTTTGTGTTGATTCTGGCGCCCCCTGTGGACAAAGTAGTTCCTCTTTTGCTTTGCCGATTTTACCTTGTTCATGTGTAAGTCGTGTTTTTTTTAAGCATAACATCTCAGTTTGCTTTCTTAAACAGTCAATTGTATCCCTCAAGAATCTGAATTAACAACATGCTGTTTCTGCAGCATCACTTTGACTGACACCTACGCTGTAGCCTGCACACTTAAAAAAAACAACTGGATAGAAATAAACAATTTTACTGAGGACCTTGTTTGCTTTTGTAGGTCATGTCTCCTTGAAAGGCGCTTTATAAATCCAAGTTATTATTATTATTATTATTATGTAAAGGCATCCGTTTTAGTTTCAGTCTGTTTCATTCGTGGCAAAAAACTCCTTACAGGAGCTTTAACCAATATTTGTATTTCTTTTATGATATGATAGAAAGCAAAACTAGATCCACCTTCTAAAACAGAAATGTACTCCTTCTGATTTATTCTAAATGCTCTGTTTGTCTCTCTCTCTTTAGTATTTGACTGGGTGGAGCAATATGCCCCTGGGTTCAAAAAGTCTGTGGTGGGCAGAGACATCCTGGCTCCCCCTGACCTGGAGAGGATCTTTGGGCTCACAGGAGGGGTATGTACTGTGCACACACTGAGGACGTTGTAAATCTGAATATCAGTTTGAATGTGGATTGACATCACTTCTGCTTAACAGTCCACTGCTCACTGGATGAGGAAGTATTTTGCGTCCACTGAGGGTTCTGTTGTTCACTGTCTGCTCGGGGACAGACCTTTGAAAGCAGTTAATGGTTACAGAGTTTTACCACAACCCCTGACTCAAAGTTCACATCGACAGTGTGAAGTCACAACTCACTGAATAATATTTGCCTCTGTTTATTACACAGGACTTTATTGAACATAATCAACTATATAAAAGTAAATAAACATTTTGCTCTTCACAGAATATCTTCCACGGGTCAATGTCACTGGATCAGCTGTACTTAGCACGACCATTGCCCTCTCTCTCTGACTACCGCTCCCCAGTTAAAGGGCTGTACCTGTGCGGAAGTGGCTGTCATCCAGGTTTGCCTTTAATGCTAATCCCTTGGCTGAATATTAAACTGCAAAGGTGACTGGTTGTGAATGTTGTAGTATAAGTACACTCATTGTTGTGACTGGTGTTTGATAGCACAGTTCATGACCCTTTTGAGAATAATGTCCTCAATGCAGATGCTACAGAGGCAGGTTCTTGGTGATTTCAGGTGTTACCTATTTCTGACTAATTCTTCTTTGTTTTATGTGTTCAATGTGTTTTTTTAGGTGGTGGTGTGATGGGTTCTCCAGGCTGGAGTGCAGCTCTTCACTGCCATGGCCGATCTCAAACATCGCTGAAAAGAATCTGACATCAGCTGAAACATGAATATCAACACTCCCTCAAACCAGCTACTTGATCGGCTGTGTCTCCTTCATGTAGCGTTGAGGATCCTAATTGTAATGTTTTCTGAAAAATAAAAAGATGCTCAATGGTGGCTTAACAACAACACAGCTCAGCGGGACAGAGACAAAGAAAGAGGCTGTCAGGCTCTTTAAAGGCCGTCAACCTGAAAAGTTCACAACTGCAGAACCCAGGTTTTACTCTTGGTATTGAACAGTAGTCACCACTTTTGAAGCACCTCTTATGAAGTCATCTAACTGAGCCAGCAGAGAAAGACTGATACCAAATCAATCACAGTGTTGAGATAAATGCAATTCATAAGATGACTCACCCTTGACTTAATGAAATGAACCAAAACTGTAATCAAAGGAAATGACGCACATTGAGCCTTTCTTACAACTTTGTATGAATAAACTCTGAAATGAAATTGAGTATATGTGTTTCGGTTTCTTAAAATTATTTGGAGGCTGTATTTTTTGTGGGAGTGAGATTATATTTTAGGATGTAAGCGTAGATATCTAATGATAGGTAAGATCATTTCAATAGTCCTAATAACATTTTAATGTTTCTAAACTTCTTCGTGTCCCAGTATGGTTTTAAATGGGACCCAGTAGGCCTCCAAACATGCAACGTGCGATTACATTTTTTGATATTGTGATAATATGAATGGTGGCAGCAGCTCAGTCTGTATTCTCACTCTTACAACTCTCCATTAGTTCATGTCCATAGGATCCTGTTTGTGTGTGTGTATTTCAGCCTATGTGTGTGTAGCATGTTCAACAACAGAGTGTAAAATTGAAAGTTTTGAATACGGTATATCTTAATTCCTCTTAAAAGAGTGCATCAGCTATTTCTGTCTATCTGCTGTTCTTCATGTTTTATACTTCAGTACCTGAGTTTGAAACCTGTTCCTCCTGAATCCAATATAAATTGTCTCTAAGTAGCCTTCTGACATAAATTCAGACTTTTGTGATGTGTTTATTGCGAAGGGTCATATCGCAATAACTATGAAATCACGATTAATTATGCAGCCCCAGAATAGAATAGAATTACTTTATTGATCCCAAACTGGGAAATTGTGACGTTACAGCAGCAGGTTATCCAACACACAATACGAGTAAAAAACACAATGTTAGCAAATCTAAACACAATATAATATTAAATACAAAGTAAAGAAGCACTAAAAATATCAAAACTAAGAATGTGAATATATACAACCAGGATTTAACTAAGCATTACTAGTCTTAAATAGGAAGATTAAATATGGAAGATTAAATGTAAATGTGCAAGAACAGAGTCGTAAATGGTTGTAAATCAAATATGAAAGATTAAATGTAAATATGCAAAAACAGAGTTGTAAATAGAACCCAGCTGACAATAATTTAATAGTTCAGCATAACAAAATGTGTAAAAAAAAAAAAAAAAAAAAGAAGACCTGTGTATGTAATGAAAAGAGTCTAAAAGCACTGCTGTGATTGCAGTATGCCAAAGAAAATATATTTGTATTGTATTTTTGTGAACCTCGAAACACTTCTTTCCTTCTTTTACAATATTTTACTTTAAATAACAGTTTTATGCCTTTGTATATCAGTGGTGGTGATGAAATGGTATTTAATTATTTTCTGCATTCTTTGTTAGCTTTAAGAAAACATAAACACACTTGACTCTGTGTACAGGCACCGGAAAAGGGCTCGAACCGTTCGACTCATTTCAATAATCGATAATGGGGGTTACTGCGCCTTTAAGACGCTGCTCAGGGTGGACCTAACGTCTGTGCAGTTGACGCTCAGGAAGTGGACTCAACCACCAAAGATTCCCACAGATCCGATAGCGATTGTCCCGATGTCACAAACGTGTTCACTCCTGAGCTAAAAGGAAGAAAGAAAAAAAAAAAAGCCTGTTTCGAGTATTTTTCTCGAAAGGGATTACTGAGAGGATAATGCTGGATGGTTGCGCTCATGAAATTCACCAGAGATATATGCAGGCTGCTGGGACTCGGGAGCGGTAAGACAAGCCCCAGTTTTAAAAAAAAAAAAAAAGTTTTTTAAAACTCAACCGCAAGTTCAGGCGAAGTGATAACGAAACGAAGGTGACAATGAAACCCGCTGATAACATAATCTAAAACTTACTCTCTTTTTTTCTTTTCTTTTTGACACTTACATTGTTTGGTAGTGTGTGTTTTTTTTTTCTAACTTGTGTTTTGTCGTGAAGTTTCACATTGCCTTCTTGCTCAGACTGTTACACCCTTTACAGCTTTCACCACTTCCAAGTCTGCGCAGTCGGTGCCAAGTAACTTATTTTTAAAACACACTTTCACGGACTTTTCAAAGCACGTCAGGAACTCACTCTGTCCAAGTGTGCCTTTTTTAAGAACAGGAAATGAGCATAAACAGTAAAAAAAAAAGGAAAAAGATTACTACAACAGATTAGAGGTTGCATGTTGGTATGATAACAATGCCTCAAATGGGTGGCAAAAGCCCCGCAGCCATGAACATGCAGGGCCATATTTAGAGTTGATGTGAGAGCATCGGGGTTGTGCGTCCTCAAACATGTCATGTGGCTCACACTTTTAGTTCCTCTTCTTGTTGCTCTGTGTTTGTCAGCATGCCTAGTTTACAGGCTTACTGCTTTAAAAACCCTCCTCAGGGACGGATTGGCATCTTTTTTTAGTAGCTGTTTCAACACATCTGTTCATGATGATCTGTGATGAATATATCTGTCAATTAAATGCTTTTTTTTTATTTTAACACTCTAATCGAGTCAAGCTTATTCAAATTACAATGTTTCTTTATGTGTGTTTTGTTAATGAAACTGTCTGTGTGCTTGATTCAGTTGACATATTACTGTTTTAACCATGTAGAAACACCTGTATCAGTTTACACATTCACTGAAAAAAACACACACACTTGATTAAGTAGTGCTTGTATTGGTAAGAGAGTGTTAACTTTTTCTATTTATTAAATGTTTACTTGTGTACAACAAGTAGGAAGCATGTTAACCGATGACTCACCGCAGCATTTACACACATCTAAAATAATGTCCCGTCCCTAAAGGGCCTTTAAAAAAAACACCAATCAATCAGTAATACACAAAACAATACAATAAAGAACCTTTTAGAGCCTATAGGTCACAATGATGTCACCGTGGAGGCAAAACTAAGCTAAACACAGATCACCTCCTCAGGGTAGAAGGTGACACAGGAGTTTAAAAATGTTGTGTTGTTGGACCGCGCCAAAATAGAAGGAGTAATATCAGTCATGTCTCAGAACGGAAATTCGACCGTATACCAGCAAGCGACACGTAACATGTTGCTAACCTCATAACATAACTAACATTACAGATGTGTCTAAAGGTTGTTCAACGTTTGGCTGTCGTTACATGTAAACCGTAACAGTCACACAGATATCAGTTATGCAGTTAGGTTGATGACAAACACTTTCAAATAGGTTCACTACATAGCTAGCCATGTGCAGTTTGTTGTCATGATGTAGGTGTTTACTCTGTTGACAATGACCAAGCCTTGAACATGGCTGTCTGCTGTCCTTGCCACTGGCTGGCCAGAACTTTGGACCTCCTTATTTAAATCTTAGTATTTAAAGATGTACACATGACTTACATGATTAAAGTTTGAGTAAGATAAGATAAAACTGCTTGACATAGAGACCAGTCATTGAAAGGCACCTTCATGAGATCACGGTTGTGTTCTTTCTCTCTTTGTGCGATAGGTTGACTCACAGTGACGAAAAAAGAGCTGTGAACTTGATTTCCTGGTAAAAAAAAAACAAAAAAAAACGCCCCATCCATGTTGATGCACTGTTATTTAGAATTCCTGTGGAAGGAGCTCACCTTTCAACTCAACATTAACTCAGGCCGTGTCCTTGAAAGGGGGAAACAGAGACTCTGTTGTTGTGTTTGTCTAGGATCGTTATTAGAAGGCAGGCATTCCTTTATGGTTAGGATTTAACATAAAACGTTGAGTCAGCTAATGGGATGGAGCCGTGCTTCAGCCGTGCTTCGTTTCATGACATTTGAGAATCGAGTCAGACACGGACCGCTGAAATTTCTTTCACTTTCTAGAGACAGTGACTCCAAGTTATGTGAGAGTCTTTACTAAAGAAGAGCTGCAAATGACAATCTTTTTCATCATTGATTCATCTGTCATGATAAAAAGTCATAGAAATGCAACAAATCCTCACATTTAAGAAGCTATAGTAGTCTGAAATTGTATGATTTTCAAAAAAAAAAACTATTCCCAGGCAGGACCCAAAATATTGAGAATAAATAAATCTCTTTTTTGTAATTTCAAGTCACTACAAATATTAACTTAAAAATTTCCTTTGAATAAATGTGTGTCCGATCTGTCAGTAAGTTTACATGCCATTAGAAAATGTCAATTTATTGTGTAAGCCCGACTTAACCTGGACTTTTAAAATACATAAACATGTTAGTCCAACTGAAATCATACTAAGTTGAATTTCTCAAAGTAAACACCGTATTCAGTCTGACCCAAACTGGTCTGGGTGTTCAGTTCATGCTCCACAGTTCCTGCATGCGCCGGGATTTCACCCGGAAGTGGAACAGCAGAAAAGCGTAGGGTAGCAGAAGTCATGTTGTCGTCTGCTTTCATGTCATACCAAAAGTAGAGCGGAGAATGTACTAAATGTAAAGAGGTGTTGAGTTGTCCATGTTTTCACAGTTTGTCTTACAACCAGTTTGCTGAAGGCCCCAGTAGTAACTATCTGAAAGGAGGTGTATTGTCACCTGCCTTAGCAGGGATGGACACTCGTCAATAAATCAATTCACCCCCCGATGTACCCTGGGA